AAATGATAATAATGCTACTAGTAATAAAAACTTCAAAGAGTTAAAAAGAAAACATCTTACTTTATTGACAAGTAAGTTCACTTGCTCTCTATACATCTCCTTCAGATCGACTATATCCGCGCGAAGTTCTTCCAACTGCACAAAAGATGTCTTTGTTTTTATCTCAACAATGAACCAACAGAAATGGTCTATTTTGTTTGCCCAATAAGTTGCTCAAAAAAATTCACTTACGAACCAAAACGGTGAAAAAGAAAAGAAGTGTAAATTTTACAAATTACAATCGTCTTAAATGCTTAAGAAATATGCTTTTTCATTGCTGACATGTATCTCCAGGGAACGGGAATAAATCTCTATAACTATCTAGGCATGAATTTAGTCACATAACAAATTTTTTCAGTTGTATCAGCCATTTTCATCCAATACCCGACTGTTCAAGTGATCTCTATCTGTCTTGACTCACAATTAAACATAGTTTCGTTGTTTTGTCTTGGTTAACAGTTCGCAAGCTTATTTTCTGTCATGAGCCTCTGTTCTTTCGTTGTCTAAATTTTCTCATTTCTTCAGAAACATATTGCTTCTGCGCTGTCACAAACTCTTTCTTTCATTGTCTAACTTTTTCTCATTTTTCAAGAAGTGATATGTTTCAATAATAATAATAATAATAATAATAATCAATCAATCATTTTTGTTGATGAAATAAAGGAAAAATAACTGAATTACCTCCTCATCACGTTCACCCATCAACTCCAAGGCAGCTGAGTGCCTCCGTCTGAGTGCCTCTAATTCAGCTCGTATCCCTGGTAGTGTGTCAGCTTCTGCCCGTAGCTTTTCACACTACGCCATATAAATCAAAATATCAAATCGACAAGTGATACAATCATATACCATGAGAACAAGTGGTACAGTTCAAATGCATAGAACATTGTAATAAATTTAATAATTAGCATAGAAATTTATGATACTGCTACTGTATCTAACTGACTAATGCTGTCCTAGATGAGGAGGAAATGCCTGTCACCCATGATTAAGGGAAGGGTGGCAGAAAATAAAAAAATTAAGTAAAAATAAAAAAAGGGACTATATAGTCTAACCTCTGCCGTCATTTTAACTAACTCCTCTGCAAGAGAATCGCGAATTGATTCCATAGAAACCTACAGTTAAAAACCAAGATTCTTGAGTACAGTACCAAGAACTAAGAGTATGGCCCTATTAATTACTCAAGATAAACACTATGCTGTTCAGTGATTCAGACCAGTCTAGATGTATATGACGCAAGCTCTCCTTCCTTTTGACGAAGGGCTGCTTCGTAAGTGCTGGTCGTCATGCTCTTTATATAGTATGGGCTTATTACCTCAGCCATTGATCTATGTTCAGATAAATTCTCGGATGAAGCCAACGTGTTTTGCAGAAAATAGGTTTCTTCCATACTGCTCAAACTGCTTGCGCTCGAGATCTTACGGGTCAAGCTACCTGTTGAGGTGCAGAGTAAAAAAGATAAAGTAGAATAAAGATAATAGTTATTACGTATAGGTGATTTCAATGTCTACCATTTTCAAAGGCAGATGACTTCTGCCTAGCTATGGAACTTTGATCTGGTATATGAAGAGGCGGAAGGCTGGAAGTCTTTTCCTGATCCAAACGAGCAGCTTTCTCCCGATCGAGTTCCTGTTAACACACAACCGTTTTAGTTTAGTGAGGTAATGATATTTGTTTTCTTTTGCTTTTAGTTTGATTGCAAACAAATTGTCAGCGTGTGGGTGTATTTCCAGAGTATCAGTGGCAGGTAACAGCACGTAGAAATATTTAGTTCCTAAAACATTCATCAGTTGTGTACTTGCATGGAAAGGGAACAAAATAAAATAGAAAAAGAATAACAAAAATAAAAAAGATAATGGCGTAGTGTTAATAGTTGCAAAGTGTGCATGTGGAATTAATATTTGCCAGGCAAGCATCATTTGTAGCAGAATTTCACTGGAAAAATCTCAGTACATCAAAAGATCCAGGACACCATATGCATGCTTAACCAAAAATAAAATAAAGTAATAAAAGAACTACTCAACACAAAGTGCTACCTAAAGGACACTTTAACTGATAACACAACTTAACCGGACAAAATCACGGAGTAAATACAATTAAGCAAGTACTTTTGACACAAAACCAAAACCACATAGAACTATGTAGGTTACCTGCTGAAGAAGTGTCTGATGCATCATTGCTTCGTGCAACTCATCCTTGTGCTTTCTCCTCAGTTCCCGAATTTCTTCTTCAAGCTGACCCACACGACCTTCATAAGTGTCAGCTTCTTCCTTCAAAGCAAGATATTCCTGCCTGTGTTCTCCTGCCCTCTGTCTCTCCTTTTCAAGAGATTTCGTTAACTGTGTCTGTTCAGCTCTAAGGCATGATATCTGCACATACGTCCATAGCATTTTAAGCTATTGAAAAAGGTAACTTCAGCTCATTAACTTAAAACCGCGTAATAAAGGAAGAAAACCTGGGCTTCAAGAACATTTATTCGAGACAGAGTTTGAGTCAAACGCTCATTCACTGAACGCTCCTTTTCCTCGGAAGCTGCAGATTTGGCCTCTGCTTCCTGCATGTTAAATTAATTAAATTCACATACCTCTAAATTAAGTTGACAAAGAGAAGTAATGCACGCCTAGAAACCTGAAGCCGGGAGTTTAGAGATCTTTCTACAGCAGCCCAAGCTTCAGCCCTTCTGGCAGCTGTTTCCTGACATCGATCGTTAAAGGAAAGAAAGGTTAATGCAAGACCGCTAACTCATTATCAAAAAGATTTAATGATCACATGGTAAAACCTGCATTGCTTCAATCTGCCTTAAAAGAGGTCTGGTAGAGTCAGGAACTTGTGTGATTAACTCCTCACACCTACGTTCACTTGCCTAGGGACAAGTAGTTGTATATCAGATCACTGCGTTTAAGCATATTTTCACATTAAATAAAATAAGACAATGCATTAGAAAGGAAAAACAAACTTGATATCGCCTTTGAAGATCTTCAATGTCCTTGCGAAGCATATCTTCTCTAAAAACTGCCTGCACCAAGAGTGAGGACAATTATCAGTATATCTTTTATGGATAAATTTGTAGACTCAATCTTTTCTGAAATTACCTGCTGCTCCTTTCTGCTCAGAGTTTGTCTCAATTCTTCAAGTGTTTGAACTAGAATACTTTCCCTGTCCTCGGCTTCTCTTAATCGACTTTCAAGTTGAGTTCTTGCTTCAGTGTTTGCGCGTGCCTCAGCTAATGCCTCAGCCTCTTTTGCCGCATTCAAAGCATTCGTGTAGTATTCTTTTTGTGTGGCAAGTTCAGCTTGATTTTTTTCAACAGTTTCTTGAAGCAACTTCTCAGTTTCTGCCTTATCCCTTTTTATGCTCTCTACTTTATTCTCTTCAACCTGGTATTGAACATTGACACCCCCTTTAATTTCGAAAGGCAGATATATAAGCAACGCACACCGACTAGAAGAAACAGTTGAATAAAAACACAATGCGCAAGGCGGTTCTAATAAGACAAGAAACAGAGAGAGCACATGTCGACCACTTGATCCATACTTTAAATAATAAAAACAATAATAAGAAGAAAAAAAAATGAAGAAAAAAAATAGTGAAACACATAATTAGAAAGAGCATACACGATTATCATGTTAACACAAGAAAATTATATACTATAATCAAGTTAACACACTTTGTGCAAATAACCGAAATAATGAAGAAACTAGCCTGTAGCTTTGTCAGCAATCCTTTCTTCTCTTCCTCAAGCTCCCTGATCTAGCTTTCACGAAAAGAAAAGATTAAATGCATTATATAGCTGAACAATGTTTAAATTTATAAGATTGTGATTCTCAAATATACGAAATACCTGTGCCCTCAACTTTCGAATTTGAGATTCCTGAGCAGCTTGCTTTTTTGACAGCTCTTCACCTGGTGATTATAATAAGCAAGATGACTTAAATACCAGTCGTAATCTAAAATTATTAATTATTGAAACGTGTAGATCAATGAGATCACAATATCACATCATGGAATGAAAAGGAAATTTTCCTCTTTGATCTGAACTACAACAACAACAACAACATAGTCTTTTAATCCCAAGCAAGTTGGGGTAGGCTAGAGATGAAACCCGAGAGAACCAATGGTAAGAGAAACACAAAAAGGGCTCAAAACAAAAGGAAGAGATTGGAGCAAAAGAGAAAGGAACAAAAATCACGGTTCTGGCACGTTGATTGCTAGCCTCCAAGCACTCCTATCTACCGCTAAATCCTTGGAGATATTCCAATCTTTAAGGTCTCTCTTAACCGACTCTTTCCAAGTGAGTTTAGGCCGACCTCTACCTCTCTTTACATCATCGACCCGCTGTAGAACTCCCCTACGCACTGGTGCATCAGGAGGAGGCCTCCGTTGGACATGTCCGAACCACCTCAGCCGATGTTGAACCAATTTCTCCTCAATTGGAGCCACCCCGACCCTATCTCGAATATCCTCATTCCGGATTCTATCCCTTCTTATGTGCCCACAGAACCAACGCAACATACGCATCTCTGCTACACTTAGTTGTTGGACATGCGATATCTTGAAAAAATTCTCTGGGTTACCCGGGTTCATGTGCCGGGTTTTGTCACCAATAGAAAATAAGGGTGCCGGCCAGACAAAGTTGATCTGAACTAGTATTTCAAAAATATTTCACTGAAAAATCATGGAATAATCATGGAATGGCAGGAGAACCCAACTATAATTCTAACGGATGAGAGCCATTTCGTCCAGCAGAGAACTCCGCTAATATGTTCAATGAGTCAAACCTCAAGGTTTCTCTTTCCCATATCAATAGTGATAAAGCTTGATTAAGCATGTAATTTGGGGTCTTCAAGATCAAATTAAATGTTGCCTTTATATATTCTACCCATAAAGAAACATTGCTAACAGAGAGGTAGTCATCTCCAATAAACAAAATCTATTTATTCCACCAATTGCCACAAACTCCTTAACCTCCAAATAACAAGTCATCCAGCTCCCACCTCTCTTAGAGAATCTATGTTGTATTTCTACTAGCCAGCCTACATTTATCTCACTTAATATTACATTCACATTGCCAAAGCAACTTGCTACACTTACTAGAGAAAACTTTTAGGCAGTTAAAAGCCAGAATTGGTGTCTCTGCATTAAGGTGTGCATACCTTCAGCCATCACTTGGGTGATTATTTCATCCTTTTCCTTCAAGAGAGCTGCAGCATCACTTTTTTTACTTTGTTCTCTGCGCAATGTATCTCTTTCTCTAGTAAGAGCATAAACCTAAAGATATGCAAGTCAAAATTTTAACTCAAACACAATTCATGATTTCATACTAACAAAAATAAAGGAGATACGAAATCAGTTTCAATGCAATAAAATCAGTATATCCAGAGATAATAAGTGCACCATCCAAGAAAGGATGAAAACTGATGGAAAAAAAATATATGCATGGATCAATATAGTAATAGATGCTCAAGGCAGCCCAGCTTATCATCTGTCATAAAGTTATCTCAAACTGAATGATAGAAGATGAAATGTTTGGATTCCATTGTTATTAACATGAAAATAGAAAAATAAGCATTCTAATTAAAGTCTACTCATGTATATAAGGTATCACATCATACAAAATTATTCTGGTGGCTACACTTCAAATTGAGATTGAAAAACACTGAGACAAACTATAAGTTACAAGATAAGATGTCAATATCAAGAGAAAAATTGAAGCAAATATAAACATTTAGCAATCAGATAACCTTTTCAACCCCTTAAGGAATCAGTAAGTAGTAAGTACATAATTTTGCAGTCCATCCTCCTTAAATGTATTATATTAAATCGTTTCATCGCTCAATTACAATTTAGAACAGATAAGATATCACTGATGCGTTAGCGGACTTGAAATTTGAGAAATAAACATAGTATTACAATTCAGAATCAAGAAAGAATGGGAGCTTAAAAATAGTCAGGTTGAAAAAAGAAAGAGAAGTTTATAACTACTCAAGTAAGCGAACTTCAAAACCTTTACGAATTTCACCTTCATCAAAATAGCATCTAAAGGATGAAAGAATGGGGTAACAAAAATCTGTCAGGTAAACTGGAATCAAAATATGAGCAAGCACCTGAAAAACTGTACCTTTCTCTCAAGTGCAGCTACTCTCTGATGATACTCCTCCCGTAGAGATTCAATTTCAGCTTCATTTGTTTTTCTCTGAAAATTACTTTTACCAGTCAGAAATTTCTATATAAAACTGGACGTATGTTGTTGCAGAAATGTGTCAAGGCATTTGGTAATCAACATGTATAATAACACCAAGATGCGTGGGCAAATGCCAAGATACGTATTTGGCCCGATGTATATAGATGGCATAGTATTGCTCCAGGAAGGGTGAGAAACTAAGAAAAATCCACAAGGCATGTGAAGAGATGTTAGGAGGACTGAAACGTCATGTAATACAATAAATGATGACAAATATGTTCAAATAACTTCAATAAAAGAATTATGACATTATTGAACAATTATGTCAGCACATTTAAAATTACAAGCAGGCACTAAAGTTTTGATTATTCTAAACTTTCCGTCCTGTCAGTACTTTCTGTTCCACAATGCTTCTCATCCACCAATATGGCTTGGAAATGAAAGCACTTCTGATAGTAACAACTCTTCCTTCTGTTATGTTATACAATTTTCTCTTTAGGTGTCATCCTGATACATAAATTCAGGAATTCAATATGACACAAAACTTCTTGTCATACAATACTATACATCAGTTCCCAAGCTCATAGGTTCGACAGGAAATCTGGGTCAAATATCAGAGGCCTTACATTACTCTTCTAAAAGAAGTAATGTGATCAATACCCGTCCCTCCTACTATAGAAACTTCTGGGCTATGATAACTGAAAATCCATGTTTTGATTAAGTACTTTTATCTGCCTATGAATGGGGAAATTATCAAATGATCAGGATATGACAATAACAGAAAACAGCTTACCCTCCTTTAACTTAAAACATCATCAACATAGAGATGCGCCATCGGAATTTAATATGACAAAGAATGTCCCTAGCATTACATTCTTATTGACGATAGAGAATATAATCGTCAACTTACTCAAGCATGAATAATCATCGCATCTTATGCATCAAAACAATGCATAGTCAAATGAGTATTGTGCTAAATCCAAAGAGTAATGACAAATATAAAAAAAAAATAAAGAAATTTAAGAAAGAAGTAATAAAGTTTTCACTTACTTTCAGATCATCAATAACAGATTTTAGTTGCTCATTTTCATTCATCAACTTGGCGATTTCATCGGCCTTGGCCTGGAAGAGAATAATTAAAAACAATCAGGTCCCATTTCCTATCTTCAATGAAAAAATAAGAGAAGGCTCTCATTTTCATAAAATTTACAAAAGAGAAAGAAGTACAAATTACAGTAGATCCTCTACAAAAGGTAATAACCATTGAAGAAACAAAATACAAGCTCCATCTTCCCACTAGTATAGCACTATAGTCCATTCACCAAGAGCAAGTTTTAGGAAAGCCGTTATTTGATGTGCCTGTTAACCAGTAATTCTTCCCAGTCCAATAAATTGCAACTAGTGTGTCTAAATAGGGAGTGAGAACGATTACAATAATGGTTTATCATCTGGTAAATAAAATTATTTTCCTTATTTATACAATTTCCATTGGCTTTGTGTTGTAGGCCATACGATCGTTATATCAGGATGAAAATCCTGTAGTGGCGTAAAAAGGACATGCTACATACCATTACTAGGTGCGATTAAATATAAATACCTGAGCTTGTCTAGCAGCTCCTTGCAACGCAGTTTCCATCATTTTCATTTCCTTCTTCAATTTCTGAAGTTCTGCCATTGTATCTGCACTATCAGGCACGTTGCTTCCGGTACCTAGACTGCGTTCTTTTGCATTAGGATCTTTGTCTGGGTGCCGTGTCAGCTCAATTGTTTTAGACACGGCATCATTTAGAGGTGTAACCATATCCAAAGCTTCTTTTGATGCTTCCGCATCATTATATTGTAAAACAGGCGACCTGTTAGTAGAACTATCTTTAGCTTCTCTAGTCTTTTCAAGACTTTCTGATTCAGATAATTCTTTGCTTTCACCCAGGACTGCCTGCGGCGCATCCAGAGCTTGAGCTGGAAAAACATCTTTAACGCCTTCTTTTTCAGTAGCACCTAAGTTATCCGGCAAACTAGTGTCAGCATCCTTTGAAGGCACAGACTGAATAACTTCATTTTGACCAACAGGACTTGTTGACTCTGGTTGAAGTGACTCAAAATGTCTAGGAGGTACTTCATCTGAACGCTCCTCTTGAAAATTGTGGGTAGATTCTGGTTGTATCGAGTCCGAAGCTGTAGGACACATTTCCTCTGACTTCTCATTCTCTACAATTGTTTTTATGGATTCTGTTTGCTCGATCTCTTCATTTTTATGTTCAGGAGATTCGACGAGAACCGAAGGCAAATCGACCACAGGTTCAACATTTTCTACACCAGCATTTTCTTTGGACTCCCCAACTGTGGATTTTGTTTCTTCTTCAGATTCTGGCTCTAGTTCTGCATTTTTCAAATCTTCCTTTACTTGTTCTACATGAAGAACCTGCTCACTTTCTTGACTAGCTAAGTTGTCATTCTCAGCTTGCTTTTCCTTGACAGGAGAATCTGGCTTTGAGGGTGTAGATGATTCAACAGCAACCTCTCCACCTTTCTGGCCCATAAACCCAATGATGGGTTCAAACAACGCCTTCCTGTCTGTAGATGGCCATAGTCCTCCTGATGCTGTAATGCAAAAACTATACATTCAACACAGCTAATATGAACTCAGTTCCCGCAATTATTTAAGGTTGTAGAGATCGATGTGTTCTAGTCAGGTGGTAATGGAGTGTCTAGCCTGTAGGGTGCTTAAGCAGCCACCTGAAACACTTTTCACATTATCTTTTTTAATTAAGTTGGCAGGATTTTGGCTGCCTAGGCCCAATTCTTGGTCGAGGCAATATTTCTCATGATAATTTTAAAAGGACTGCATAAATATCGACTTTTTAACATATTATTTGAAAAATCTTTAGCTCCTAGAAAGTGTATAAAGTGACTTTCAAGATTTATGTTTTCATAGCTAGTTGCACATGGCAACCTACAAAATTCCAAGCCCTAAAAGCACCAAACTTCAGGACCGCACAATTTCTTCGATCAGATCCACATAAGCTTAAAAGTAATAAATAGGTTCAATCAAAATGCAATTCAAGTAAATGAACCAGCAATCAACAACGAAAAGGGGGAAAAAAATCCTTCAAGTGACAGCAAATTCGTACTTTCACTGCCGCTACCACTAGCATCGGATTTTTCCTCGAGGCCAAGCGCGTTGTCGAAGTTCTTTTCAATGTTCTTCACACTTTCACTCAGCTTATTTACAGCATCTGAGAAATCCGGAAAGTTGCCGAGAGACACTTTCCCACTAAACCACGCCATATCCTCAATCTAGCCGCTTGATCCACGCCTTCGAATATTGAATTCACGTCATCCAACCTACAGAAAGTAACAGAATTTAACCAAAACAAACAGATTACAACATAAAATTTCGTTAAATTGAGCTGAAATTTTCAAACCCACAATCGGCGAATGAAGATCGGGTGTCGTTTGATCCCTGTAAAGATTCAAGAATCGTTCGGAATCAGCAATGTCGGAGAAGCTAAACCAAGATTCTTCGATGACGGTTGAATAGTGAAGAGATCAAATCGGAGGTGGGAATAAGAGGGATGTAATTTTCATCATGGAAATGGGAAAAGTTGCAGGTTGATCTGATTTGGATTCTGGTACTTGGATTAAATTGTTGGGTAATTTTGTACTCCCAATCTATTCTTTTATTTGTGTTACAATCCTTCTGAAAATATTTTGGCTGCTCCATCTCCATAATTTCATCCCACTTAACTCCGCCATAAGATGCACAAATAACATCACCTCACTCACACCAGTTTACCTACTTTCATCTTTTTNTAAATATTGGTGTATTCAATTTAGATTTGTTCTTGAAGTATTTAATTTATTTAAAATTAGGAATTGTTAAGATTTATGTTTGTATACAAGAAATTTCAAAAAAAAAAAATTATTATCAATATAATTAAATAATATCAATCAATGATTCATACACATTACGTCAACCTTAATTCACTGTTCATCCACCCATATTATTTTAACTAACCATCAATTCAAATCATCTGTCTTACTTTTATATCAATCAATTTTAATTATTTTATTTTAAATATTATTTTAATATACCCACTAACAACTAACCATACTACTTTTTTCAAAATTAACCAAACCAAACTAAAAATTCCAACAAAACCAAAAAATTTCATATCCAAACATGCTCAAATGGTGGATTTCTAAACCTTACATGAAATCTCACTTCAAATCCTACAACTAAATTTAAAATTTCACATAATTACTCCAAAATATTATATGAAGTCTCACTTCAAATCTCACATCCAGATTTAAATTTCACATAATTCCTCCAAAATATGAAAAATCTTAAAAAGTCTCAAACCTTAAAAAGTCTTAAAATGTCACTTGAAATCACAATTGAATACACCGCCTTAATCATTTCTCACATTTTTCCTTTCTCCCATCCATTGTATCAAGCAAAATTGTTCACCATTTTTCAGGTGTTGTGTTGTGCAGTATTTTGTGGTGGGATAATTTCGTAACTGAGTTATTCGGAGCTTCGTTTGCTAGTTAGTTGTCCAAAATACAAAAATAGAAAATAAAATCCTAAACACTCTAATTCAATTTGCTGGTTTGGATTGATTATCAATTAAGGAATAACATGAAATATAAAGCTATCTAAGAAATATAAATGTCACAATTCAAAGAGAGATAAACGAGTTAGGGTATCGGGGACAATGGTTTCTAGTTCTACACACATTTACCGGCAATCCATAACTTGATTAAAAGACTCGACTAATTAACTCATTTATCGGTTTAACCTCAATAACTCTTCGTAACATGCGGATAAACATAAACGAGGAAATTAACGAAACAATTAATACATAGACAATACGTCTCCAAACATGTCTACTCTAAACGAGCCAAGTTCCACCAATTTCTCCCCTCTCGGTTTTGAAATCGATTAATTCTACGACTCCTCCCCTTTCGGTTCTAAAAGTCGCTAATTCGATTAGAAGATGTTTAATCAACTAATCATGTAGAATCAACAAACTCAAACTTAATAAATCAATATTCAGTGGTGCAAAATCGAAGTGTCACTCTTCGATTATATCAATAAATTCTCCTAAGTGTCACTCTTAGGTTATATTGAATTATCAAGCATGATTTTATCAATTCCTAATTAAAACAACTCGCAAAGATTGAGCTATCGTCATGCACATAAACGAGAACAAACCGGAATGATTATCCCCTAGCCCCTAGCTAAAGGATTAGCTACTCATGATGAAATCAACCACAACAAAAAGTTTAATACAAGCTTTCATGTTCATAATCAAATGAAGAAAACTTACTATTAATCCAAGTCGAGAATCGAAATCAACTTACAAGCCAAATTGAATCCTTGTGGAATGTTTAATCTCTAAAATACAAGCAAGACAAATAACTAAGAAGAACATGAGAAGAACTAGGGAGAAGGGAAGAAAGAAGAGGGAGAAGAACTCCCTCAAGAAGGGACGATTCTATGAAGTGAGGAGAGGAAGTATTTATAGTAAATGGAAGGTTGGAAAATGAAATTAAAATTTGATAGTGGAGACATTAATGGATGGAATCATGGAGCAAATTAAGTGAAGTGGAGATATGATAATAACAAAAAACAAACAACACAACCCATAAATGCCTCCTCCAATTCGGAATTTGTGGAAGAAAGTGGAAGAAATGGTCCATCTTGCATTTTTTTGTAGGCACTGCGAACTGTGATTCTGCACTGCGCGACTTTGCGTTTTGGTCTCGTTTGAGCTCGTCCGAACTCAGAATTGAGTGCCGTTTTTTTCTACGCGTCACTAACGAACTGTTCTATTTAATTATGCTTGCAAAACCAACTTTTGCCCAGAATAAAATCCTGTAGAGTTTTACAACCTTCAAAGGGTCGGCAGTTTGCTAGACTTTACGTTTCTGCCCCGGTCCCGTTCGGATTCGTTAGAACTCGAAATCGAATACCGCTTTTTCTTACTTGTAGCCAACGAACCCATCTATCTAACCATGGTCTCCCGGCCCATTTTTGAGCTAAATCTATTCCTCACGGGCTTCTGACCTGCACACCAAAAGCAAGAAGAAAAACGTAGAAAAGCGACAAAATATACAAAAAACACATAAAAAGCCAAAATAGAGCAAAACACACAATAAACTATAAAACAAACTAAAAACCAATTAAAATACCTAAAATGGGGGAAAAAGAATAACAAAACAGTAACAAAAAACGTAACAAAAATGGTCACAACATGTTGCATGACGCACTCCCGTGAAAAATAGACCCGACGAAGTCCGGCAAAAAACAGACGCGAAGAATTCCGATAAAAGACGAAGGCGATTAACTCTAACAAACTCCCAAAAGAGAAACTCATGCGACCATCTACGAAAAACTCTCAAGCATTTTTTTTTTTTTTTTCGACGAACGAAGATTATCCCTATCTGTAAAATCTCTCAAAGTATGAGGTGAAGGCTTATTTGATTTTTTTAAAAGAAATCAACGAGTTCTTGTTCTTCATATCCATTAAAAAAAGAAGGTGTCAATGATTGTCGAATGTTATTCATATTGGCCAAATTTTAATATTAGGTTATGTAAATTTTACATAGATAAACATAATAACATTGATACATGCATATAATGCCCGTTTGGGGACAATGAAGTACCTATTATATTTGTATTGGATGCTAATTATTTTCTGCTAGAAGGTTTGATGTTCATTTGTCCAACTCTTTTATGACCATGATGCATGATTGGCGTGAAGGAGTGTAACAATTTGCTAGTGATTCGTGCCCTAAGGCTGAGTAAAATTGCATCTAACTATAGTGATTTCCATAATTTTAAAATCATCCAGTCGAGTGCACGGAGGTTTGAGGTCTTGATGCCGACAAAAGTTGTGTCGTGGATTTGCATGCCCGTACTTGTTCTTATAGAGAATGAAAACTATCTAAGATGTCCTACAAGCATGCATGAGCTTGTATTGACCATAAGTCAACGCCTTTTTATGATTTTTGCGATCTGTATTACAGTGTTGGGATGTGTATGCAAACTTATAAAGGTATAATTAACCATATACCTAACTACGACCATAATATTATAAATTTACATCATGATGATGTCATTCGTGTCGCAGATGTACAGTCTCAACCTAGACGCATGAGGTGAAACAACTTTCTTTTGCATAATTACTTCAAATGTGTTGCATCTTTTTTGTCCTTAAGTTCTTTATTGGTGAATTGGCTTCATACTCAGCATTATTTTCTTTGTCATTCTCATCCATTCCCTAATAAACTGACTTTAATTAGATTAGATAATGAATTATATTGACGTAACAGTCATAGTAAACAAAGCAATAATAGTAATTATATAATATAATAATAAACCTAAATAAATAATGTGAGATAATTTAAAATATTTAAATTAACATAAGTAGTCAAGTTGCCTTTTTGCTCTCGCACGCACCATTTTGGACTTCAAATCTGATTCCTATAAAATTAATGATATGTATAATTATAAAAAATAAAATGATATGTATATATTACAATCTATTACCTATTATATACTAATTTAAATTAAAAAAAAAACGACTTTCAATAAGAAAAGTTCCATATTTCCCAACAACCTCATCATCGTCGCAAGTTTTCGAAACTGAAAACGAACCACGAAATTCTTTAGTTGAGTTGACTTTACCTGAACCTTGAACAATATTATTTCCTATCATTGATATCAGCTCATCAGGGATACCAATTCCATCTTGCATCTATTTGGAAGATAAAAAATATTAATTGTATTGCAATAATTGTACTACAATTATAATTACTGCACAATTAAATAAATTTTACTATTTAATGTCAAAAAATTAGACCTCTACATATTTCAAACGCAATTCATGACACAGATAGACAAGCAAATCTTCACAATCTGTATTCCAACAAATAAAAGAAGCGTTCCCCGCTGCATCACTTACTTCAAATTGAACCTTGTACCTATATATTATATATGAATTGTATAAAGAACTCATGCTGCAACAAACTCTTTTATTTCCTCTGCAGTCTGATCGACAATTAACTTCGTGATATAAAAGGTGCTTCAAAACTTGCTGATACTGTAAATAGAAAAAAAAAACTTTATTAAAAAAGTAAAAATTTCAAAATGTATAAGTAAATATAAACGTGTTGTTTTATTGTCAAAAGTCTTCGCCCAATAACGTTCAAAAATAGTACAACAAAATAATTAAAACATGAATTTAAAATAAAAATAAAAGATTTAATAAAGCAAGAATAAAAAAAAATAATTGTACCAATGAGCATGGAGTAAAAAAAGGTTGCTTTAGCCAACTCAGAAAAGCTCGTGTAATTGTAGAGGAATTTTGGAAGCCTATCTCCGGAGACTCTGACCAAACGAGAGTGCGGCCATGGAAGCAATTTTGTACCTTCCTATTGTTCTCTTGTACCTACCGTTTGGAGCGACAATGATATCCCTAATTGCAACACTTCCTTCAAATGATGCCTAAACTTTTTCATAGAAGCATGAATGCGTACCCTGAAATTAACAAATATAAAGAATTATAGTTACAAGGGATTAAAGGCATTATTGAACATTGAAATCGTTTTACCTCCAAATCATGAAATATTACTTTGAGACCCAAAACTGTAGAGCGATCCCCGCTCATAGCATCTTACGACATCAACAACCTTTATGTTCCATCCAGTCTTGTCCATATTGAATGCCACAATATTTTTTTCTTGCTTGTGTGTGTGTGTGTGTGTGTATTTTTTTAAATTTTTCATTATTTTTTAAATTTTTTCTATTTTTTTAATGAACTNGTGATATATTGAGTTGGAATATCAAATAATCCCACTACAACATTAACATACTCACAACTTAATCCCACTACAACATTAACACACTGCAGTACTTATTAACTGGCGAACAACGACAGAAATTGCAATCCAATTGAAGCATTTGAAATAAGGTTGTTTTATTGATTATTAATTATTTATTAATCTTTTATTTGATAATTAAACAGTTTTATTTTATGCAGGAACAATGTCACGTGAATGAAAGTCAGTTGAAGAGTTTTATTTTTCATTAGTAATTCAATAATTGTAATTAATATTCTAAATATATCTATTCATATGTATAGATTAATTTAATGGATTAATTTAATCATGATCATATGTTTTGGATTGTTCAAACTTATGGTAGAAAATGAATCAAAAAATTTCTACAACCATGCTGTTATTTATTTATTTATTTATTATGAAGAATGCTTGTGTGTTATTCATTGTGATATATTTAAAATATTTCATATACAATTTCATTATTATTAGATATAATTAGTATGTACAAATTTAAGATAAAAAAATTTATATAATTCAGACGTTTTTATAAAAAAAAAAAAACAAAAAAAAAGACCTAATATTTTTTTCATTAATTATTAGATAAAGTAAATTTTTTCTAGTTAAAGTGGTATTTGTATATTTATATTTATAAAAATATAATAATATAAATATGAATTCTAATGATGAGAATGTTTACAAATTAATTTAGATGTGCAGTTGGAATGGTAGATAAATTCGATGGACTTATCATACACCGAAAAGCAAAATATTTTGTTACTAAATCTTTAAATAAATTGAATATGCTGCAGTTGAAATGGTATTTTGTATATGAATGACACGGTATTTTTGCATATGAATGACACGTACACCAAATTTGCCAATTATTTTTTAATAAATTTTAAAATAAATTAAATATGCGGCAGTTACATAGGACCAACACATATCAAACGTACAATGAAAGGTGATTTTTTTAAAATAATAAATGTGTAAATGAATACATGATTCCAGTGGAATATGTCAATAACATGTAGCATCAATGTAGTTTGTCAAGACTTTGCCACAATAGAAACAACATCACGGGGCCACACCTAAAACTTACAAAAAAAATAGAGTGTGCTGTCTAATTATATGGTAAATAGATGGTTACAGGTTGTAAATTAAGTATAAATAGAATTTTGGTTGAACGAACAAGAAATTAGTGTGAGCTTCAATACAAGAACAATAAAAACAAATATTAAAATAATCAGGATGAAACTGAAATTAAAAAAATAACAATGAAAAATACAATCAATTCAATCAAATGAAAAGTAAAAATACCTCAATAATCAAAAATCAATGTTTTCAAGGTTGCAGCTTTCTAAATCATATTTCCCGCATTTTGCTTATCGCAGCCGTTAACTTCTCTTTGATGCTCCGATTCGATTTGGGGCTTAGGGTTAGTGAAGGGCTGCGATTTCGGCAGGCAAAGTGAATTGAAGAGGGAAGATTTGGGTGGCGAGAGAGAGCTGAAGATCCCTCCGCATGTTGTGGTGGATTTTGGAGGAGAAGTTTCTTCAGCTCTCTCGTACACGATTATGGAATCCGATCTTACTGGTTTTCGACGGCACTCGCACCGAATGAAGATCGTCGTCTGATGAGGCGTAATTGGCTAGACAAATCGTGGGGAGTTGTTTCCTTAATGATAATAATCAATTTTACAAAATTGTGGGGAGCTGTTTCCTTGATGATAAGAATCAATTTTGATCAGGCAAATCAACTCTCCATTAGACCCGCTATTCCATGAATAAAATATAATTATGTTTAAACTAATATGCTTGCAAATAAATGTGATAGTTTTAACTATTTTGCAAATAAATATGTATGGACTAAAAATATGTAATAAAAATGCTATTGTGTAGTAGACAAGGAAATTTCCTCAAAAACTTAAGTCAAACGGGCCAAGAGATAGATAACCTAACCCTGATTTATTTTTCGGGCTATATGGACTGACTCTACAAGCTAATTTTCAAACTAAGTTTAGCCCACAAGTTCACCACCATTTTGAGCCAACCTTTGTGGTTGCCCTATTTCTAGGACTCTTTCATTTTTAGCCGTGTGTAAGGACCAACTGGATCTGTTTATAAATTTTTTCAACTGAATCGCTAAATACCGCACCCTTTTTACTATGTACCACACCTCTAAATGACCATTTTGCCCTTTATTCTTTTGTATTAAAAAAAAAGAATGTCCCCTCTTCAGATCTACTTACCGGCCGGACCGAACCCCGAAAAATTCCGAAAACACCTCCGAATAATTCTAGCAAAAAAATATTTTCCAACAAGACCACTGTTGCGGCGGCCGGCCGACCGGCAAGACCGGCCGGCCAGACTTTTCGACCGAGCCAATGTTGGCCGCCTTCGGCGGCCGGCAAGACCATACCTGGCCGAAAAGTCTGGCCGGTCGGACCTTGACCGGCCGCGGTCGCCGGTCGGCCGGCGTCAGTCCGGCCAGCCGACTTTTTCTTTTTTTTGTGCTTTTTTTAATTAAAAAAACTTTAAATATTATAAAATATATTTTAAAAATTTCTATATATTAATATATATTTTATATAAAATAGAAACTAATTCATAATTACTACTGAAAATCCATTATCTACTTTAAGAAGCTAATTTTTATCAGTCTAATTACTAATATTTTTACAAATATTATAAGCTAACCATACAAAAAAGTATAATAATAATTTTAAAATGGTGTGTAATTAAATTTTTTTATATTATCTTATACAAAATAATTTTACATTGTTTGACCCCGAATCTTTAATTCATAATTATTAAGTATTGTTTATCTTCCTCTTTAATTTATAATTATTTCTTTTTTTGCTTCCTCTTTTTAAATAGGATCAATATTAGTTTTCACTTAGGTCATTGAGTGACTCAAACTCGAGGTCTATTTATAATATTGTTAATTTAATATTGTTTCCGTGCATCGCACGGGCTATACACTAGTAAATTATATTAGTATAAATTATTACGTTATAGATTAGAATTGATTATCTTATAAAATAAAATTTATTGATATTATGTTAGAAGTTAGAAATTGTTGTGTTATAGATTAGAATTGATTATCTTATAAAATAGAATGTATTAATAATATGTTAGAAATTGTTGTGTTATAGATTAGAATTGATTATCTTATAAAATAGAATGTATTAATAATATGTTAGAAATTATTGTGTTATAGATTAGTATTGATTATCTTATGAAGTATAATTTGAAGTATAATTTATTGATATTATGTTAGAAGTTGAAAATTATTTTGTTATAGATTAGAATAGATTATCTTATAAAGTAGAATTTATTGATATTATGTTAGAAGTTAGAATTGATTATATAAGAAATCTACAAATTATTATTATTATGTTATAAATTATAATTGATTATTTTGTAAAATTATTAATATACATCATAATATATTGCACGTGTCACTCGAAGATTTTAGACGAGACAGTATTGATTACAGACATGCTTTCATTACAGATAACCTTCTAATAGTTGTGAAGAAACTGTTAAATGGGCAAAAGATAACAATTATATAGGGTTTCAAATTGGTCATCTCGAAACACGAAAAAGAAGAAAAACAGAAGGTGTTGAGGTGTCATCGAGGGGAACGTTACAGAGGCAGTGTAGTAAGAGATTTGGTTAATACTGTTTTGAGACGTTCGATCGGATAAGATGGGACGGGGGTGTTTGTAACAAGGAGCACTGGGTGGAAGTTATGGCCGACCTCTTTCCTATTGTTACACTATTTAATGTAGTTGTCGTGTTGTTAGGCTGTGTGTGGTCCCAGATATAACAATATCAACCATTTTAGTACGACAGTATTGCCGCTTCACGCGCCATTCACGGCTACACGACCTGAATGCGAGATTGTCATAAGTCATCTTGGTTCTTACAAACACTTCATTCGTCTGAATCTGTCTTCTAAGTTTCCATTACCGCCTATTTGTTATTGTTGGGAGAGATACCGAGATGGCACGGTTCAAGGATGGGATGATCACTACCAGAGCAGGGTCCAGTTGTGGCGTGATATTCGTAATGGAGCTGGATGATATATTATGATATTCGACTTATGTTTGTGATTGATGACATTCATTATATTATTGATATATTATGATATGCGGCCGTGTTTATACATTAATTTCGAGTTATGTTTGTCATGAACTTGTTGAGAATAAAATGAACTAACAACAAATACAGTTAAAAAAATGATATTGTATAATTAGTATAAATTATATTATTGTAAATTAGAAATGATATTAGTTTGAAAAAAATTATATTAGTATAAATTATTATGTTATATATTTGAATTGATTATCTTATAAATTATAATTTATTAATGGTTTAATTGTTGCATTAAAATTAAACTTAGTTATGACACTAACATCAGGATCCCAAGCGTGATAAAATTGATTCGATCAAATACAAGTTCATTAGAGAATGAAAGTCAACGGCAAGGCATTTTCATTAGTACTTCAATTAAACATGAGCTTGAATGTTTTTCCTACTATAATATTCACTCGAATCATATAACTCTGAGAAAAGTGTCAAACAATCTTGTCATAAAATTCGGTCTAATCATACTGAATTAATCGGTCTCAATGAATTGCTCGAACAAAATCCGACTTTTCCGTTCAATTTGTTATTAAAATTGGTATTTATGAATTTCAAATTTAAGTAAGAATATTATTTTGTATTTTAAAATTTATTACCAAGTTGAAAAGGAGCGAATTTAAGAAAAAAATGGGACTATAATTTTTAATAACGTCACTCATTAGTATTTTGTTAGAAATAATTAGTATTATGTTATATAACGTAATAATTTTTAAGTTCTAACATAATAATAATAATAAAATTCTATATGATAATTAATTATAATTTATAATTTAACAATTTTTAAATTCTAACTATAAGATAATAAATTATAATTTATAACATAATATCTAAATTCTAATATAATGTATATAATAAATAAAAATTTGGGCCGTGCATGGTGCGGCCAACTGGGAAAAAAGGTCGTGCATGGTGCGGCCAACCGAGAAAGAAGGCCGTGGACGGTGCGGCCAACCGGGAAAGAAGGCTGTGCATGGTGCGGCCAACTGGGAAAGAAGGCCGGGGCTGGCCTAAAAAAAAATTATTTTAAAATTCAAAAGGGTAAAATTGTCTTTTTGAGGTGCGGTATTTAGTAACACCCTTTTTCCAATTCATACTCAATCCAGTCCCAAATTCTAACTCATTTTTAACTCAACCTCACTATTCTCAACATTACCAATATAGATAAATGAAAAAATGTTATAAGTACATAATACTGTACATAGAGTTGTACATAACACTCACATTAAGTGGATTCTACTAAAAATAAAAAATCAAGTAGACCCCACTCCATGTGAGTGTTATGTACACCTTTATGTACATTTATTATGTACTTGTAGCATTTTTCTTTTTTTTACTATCACTTCACATCATCTCTCTACTACTTTTACACCAAATCAATTTTAGTTATTTTATTTTAAATATTATTTTATATAAACTCAAAGTCCCATTAAAGACTAATCCTTCTAACTTCTCAAAACTAACCTTGGTTAAACGAAAAAACTAGTTTCGAGCATATATATTTGTATCTAAAATCACGCCTAAGCTTTGTCAATTCATCATGGAAATAGTATAATATGATATATCATTAGTCATTACAACAGGAAGAAACTCGGAGAAAGCCATTTTCTTTTTCAATATTCTCCATACATTTTGTTTATGGAATAAATACATATATGCAATCTACCACACCGAATAATATGGGCTTCTTTTCATCTTCGCATTACTGTCCCAAGATATCGGATATTGATTTTTTGATCGCCTGAGAAAGCTCTTGCCTATACAAGAGAAGAAAACTAATAAAAATTTGAATAAAACTTCATATCTGCATGGTGGACAGTGTGGACTCAAAAGCATCAAGAAATTCGAAATCTACTTCCATCAGAAGCAACAAGTAGCTGAAAATTAGAAATTGGAAGCATCCACCAAAGAAAACCCAACTATTCAATAAGTTAGCTTAGGCGCTTGGTTTGTATGTAAAAATAAAAAATGAGCCGTCCGAGAATTTAAACCACTTTTTCCACTTTCAGATTATAATAAAAGGTAAATGACCCTTTTTTTCTTGGAAATATAAGTATGGCGATAAGTAGTTTATAAAACAAAATGGCAAAATGACAATCCACTGTCAATGAACTTAAAGGTGCGCATGGTTCATTTTATTTAAAATGTGAGGCAAATGCGTGTGTGCATAGCTACTCATTGATTGATTGCATTATCAATGATTTGTAGTGAAGAACTTTCTTACCTATCCGGCTTGAATAAGAGATACCGATATGTGAACCACTGAAAAGAAAAAACGAAGAAATAAAACGATTCCATGTTAGCTTGCAACCAAATAGAAGCGCGTCTCAAAAAAGTGGGAATGCAATCAGATAATGGTGATATAACTGTTAAGTAACTTTGTTCCCACACAAAATGAGTTGCAACTTTGTACTTACCGAAGAAAATAGTATTCCAACAAGCTCAAGCACACTTGGAACAATAGGAAGTTTGTCGATGGTCTGTTATGAATATCAGGAATAATCAGCACAAAAATTTAACAGAAAAGCATAGATGTCAACAATATTTCACCAAATTGCTTTGTGTTTAACCTTCCATTCCAAAAACTGAATCATGCTCACAAGAATGACAGAAATGACTTATTTACCGTCACAAGATTTATTGATGCCCAGAAAGCTACCACACTTGCAAATCCTAAACCAATCAGAGCTACCCGATCTTCTGATTTGTCCCACTATCCCAATGAGTCAAACAGGAAGAGAATAAACAAAACGAAAAGGAGAAAGAATAAGCATAATGAGAGAATTAAACAAAAAAGGGAAGCAGTAGGGGATTATGACTTACAACATTCTGTACAGATTTTACAATTGAAGTATCTGAGCTTTCACCTGTGGCTTTTGCTACTACCCTTACACGATCTTGTCTCTCTATAAGATAATACGACACTACATTAATAGATTAATACAAATAATATATTCAAATGATGTCTTAGTATCTCCCTATAATTCAGTTCAATTACCGAAAAAAAAATTAAAAAAAATAGAATACATCTGTCCTCTTGAGCTTTGATAGTTTTAAACAGAACTTTCTCCCAACATGATGCAATATATGAATTCGAAACATAGTTCAGGAATTTTTATACTGAAAGAGAACTGAGATTCCCTGTATTCAGGCCACAATTTGTAATTTTTTGGGATGAATTAAGCAGTTAAGTGACAGAACCACACCCATACTCAACAAAAATACTAAATCTACTCTCAACAGAAAATTAGCTCTTCTCAAATGAGTTACAGATTTGAGATCCTAAATCTAAAGCAGCCATTAAAATACTTGTGCCTTTTGAATACGATTATACAACTGATGTACTGAAATGGAGGTTCTCTTCAACTACCAAGCCAAGCATAACCTAATTAGCCGGGATTACATTAAAAGTGCGTGCACATACTGAAATCAAGCATATAGCTCATTTATGCAAAGTTCGTTCTCCTTCACCAGAAAATTACTACAAGCAAACTTTACAGAATTAAACTCTGATACAATGATTTGAACTGAAAATGCAATAGAGAAGACGTACTCACCTTTAATTGCAGGCATTGCTGATTTCCCAAGTGTCTGGAATACGGGTTGTCTTCCGTTGACCGCCATTACAGTTGGGGTAAGAAGCCTTGCCAATATCGAAGCCATCTTCAGATATCAAGCCAAAAAGCAAGAAAATTTGATAAAATGGAGCTGTAGATTAGATAAAATCGACAGTTGATTGATAACCGTAAGGTCTTCGAAATTACGGAAGCTCTGAGGCTATGCAGAGAGAGAGAGAGCTTTGGTGTACGAGAGACGGAGAATGCGCATCACCAATTATTTTACCCGCAGTGAACTGTATATTTTAGGGGTCACAGTGTACTCTTTTCTAATACAGACCACTTACAATAACTTACAATGTCCCTTGTAGAAGTGTAAGAGCATCTCGAATGTATGAATGTCAATATTAAAATGTTCTTTGTTTGACATCTTCAATGAACCCAAGAAATTGTACTCTGAAGGCTTTCTCTCTACGTGGACTGACTAAATTACTCTCAAATGATAAATGTGTAAACATAATAAATGTCTATACACATGTCTTTTTTTTTATGATTATCTTACCCGCAGTGAACTTTATATTTTAGGGGGTCACAGTGTAATCTTTTTTAATACAGACCACTTACAATAACTTACAATGTCCCTTGTAGAAGTGTAAGAGCATCTCGAATGTATGAATGTCAATATTAAAATGTTCTTTGTTTGGCATCTTCAATGAACCCAAGAAATTGTACTCTGAAGGCTTTCTCTCCACGTGGACTGACTAAATTACTCTCAAATGATAAATGTGTAAACATAATAAATGTCTATACACATGTCTTTTTTTTTATGATTATCTTACCCGCAGTGAACTTTATATTTTAGGGGGTCACAGTGTAATCTTTTTTAATACAGACCACTTACAGTAACTTACAATGTCCCTTGTAGAAGTGTAAGAGCATCTCGAATGTATGTATGTCAATATTAAAATGTTCTTTGTTTGGCATCTTCAATGAACCCAAGAAATTGTACTCTGAAGGCTTTCTCTCCACGTGGACTGACTAAATTACTCTCAAATGATAAATGTGTAAACATAATAAATGTCTATACACATGTCTTTTTTTTTTTATGAAATCATAATATTTTCAACAATATATATTGCAGTAATACTAAGGAGCCAACAGCCAATGGGACAGCTCCATGTGGGGTTGTCCCACATGGCTCCAATGTGGGACAGCCTGGAGCCAACAGCTGGCTCCTTAGCATTACTAATATATATTGCACTTTTCGTCAATTTCATTCACAGATTGAGAGTAGACATAGACAAAGTACGCCTTTATTTATTAATTTTTTGAGAGCATCTACATCCCACCGATATTTATCAGGTATGTTTCTAATAGTAATATTTATTTTTGTAAGAGCATCTCTATCCTGTATTCATCATTATTTTTGTTCAAAGAACAATTATGTCAGTTTTCCTTATTATGTTAATACACAATTTTGACAAAATATATAATTTATAATATAATTTTATAAATGTATCAATTTTTTATTTTATTTTTATTTATGTAAATTAATATGCTTTTTGATAAAGTGTATACAAATAAACACCAACAACTATAATTTAATCAACGACTTAGATTATAAATTGATTTTTTTTCAAATTTAGTTAATATTTTTGTAAATACTAGATACGTGTTTTAACAAATAAAATAATCATTACATAAATATTATTATATTTTTCTTAACTTTTATTTTTTATTAATTGTATAATGAAAATTTAAATATATATAAAATAATATATTTAAGACTTCTAGAAGTACTTTCACATGTATAAAGACTTCTAGAATAATTTCATCTCTCATGCCACATCAGCACAAATGAAAGTAAAAAAATGATTGTTGGAGAAGTTTTGTATCGGACTACTTCTATAATCCAACAATTCACAATCCATTGGAGATGCTCTAATTGGATAACTTATCCACTTCATACTAATGTTGACAGTAGGAATAGCAACAACTAAATATGCCGTACAATGCACTTTCTTTAATTCTTGTTGACTAGGATATTTATTTTTTAGAATTTTCATGTTAAACCGATTTTAAAATTTTAATAGATTAAACGAGTATTTTAGTTTTATGTTAAATTGATTTTTAAAATTTTAATAGATTGAATGACATTTTTAAAATTTTATTAGATTGAACGAGTCTTTTAATAGCATCAATATCTGGATAACTCTACTTAAAACGTGGAGTTTATTATTCCACGAACGAGAATGTTAAATGATAACCATCATATTATCCTCAAATCTTCATTTTAAACATATTTGGAGAATCACACCGCGAGTGTTCTTTCTGTTTTTGCAGATTTTTCCCTCTTCTTTCGTTTTCCCACGATTCTATATATTTTAGGACGTTTCTTTCTGGGGTAGGTTGCATTCTGAGCTTCTCAGGATCTCTAGTCATATCGTCGAATGCACTTTATGACTTCAAACAGTGAGCTTGACTGCTGTTTAGCCACGTCACACAAAATTAGATCATGACAGTGGGCTTGACTACTCGTAAAATCGAATTCGTCGTCGTCGTTGTTGTCGTCTACATTCTCTTCATTAATAACAATGGTCGTTTGCATCCTTCGTTCGGCCTTCTTCCAATTCATTAGCAATATTTGAGCCTCCAGATTTTGTGGCGTCAGCCTCGACCGTCGTACGTCTAGCATGTAGCCTCCCTCACTAAATGCTTGTTCGACCGCAACTGTCGATGTTGGGACGAAGAAAATCTCCTTGGCCATCAAGCATGGAATAGGATAAACGCCTTTCATTCTTGACCACCAATCCAAGACATCGAAATTGAGTGGCGGAGTTGGTTCGCGAGCAACAGTAAGTAGTATATTCTACGTAAGGTACTGATTGAGCTTATAGTATCCAGTCCCCCTTGTCCTTTGGATGCTAGCTAGCATTCTTGTAAGGATTAAATGAATCCCACCAGTCTGTAAAGTTTGTGGCTTTTTGCGTCCCCCATTGCCATCCATATGAAGAAGACCCGCCGCCGCCGCCACGAACAAATGACTGCGGAGATTCCCTGAGTCTGATTGTTGTTTCCTTAAACAAATCATACAATAAACTCTTTGCTTGCTCGACGAGCAGCAGTATGTTAGGCTTTTTACTGTATGTTCAGACATCAGTTGGAATTGGGAGTTGGTACATAGTATCATAATACATGGTAAGCTGGTTTATCAAGCCAGCTTCATGTACTGAAGGATCTAAGAAACATGAAACTAAAAATGTATTATTTTCTTAATATGTCTGTTATTAATTCTCTATATTTATTAGGATCATTAAAATAAAGATCTTTAAAACGCCACATTATGGCTATAGATTGACTTAACACAAGTTGAGCAGTAGGATAGTAAACACCACAAAGTATGTTAGTAGCATTTTGAAATGTTTGTAAAAGTTCAATATGTGCACAATAGTTCAGCCAATCATTTGTAGTAACTCGGACATCTCAGTCCTTGTATTGAGCACTCCTACAAAAACAACGCTCCAATCGCCCCATCCACTGCTCAACATTTTATATGTTGAGGACGTCTGGTTGGAATTTTTTAGGTTTTAGCCCATCAGCTTTACAAAATTTAAACTATGTTTTCAATTCTTGGGGACGCTAGTGTAAATAATTATTGACATCCCTAATGGGCGTGACCGAGTTTTTAAAAGCATGATAAACCGCTTGCACACAAATATTTAAAACATTACATAGAAAATGAATATGCAAAAAAAATTCCCCCACAAATGGGAGTACAAATTTCATTAAGCTCACATATAGATGCAATATTGATACTAGCATTATCAAAAGAAATGAAAAATACTTTTTTACTAATTTTATATTTCCAAGACCTTTGAAATTAAACGAGCGATATTAGAAGCAGTGTGTCGTTCAAGAAATCCAACATAACCTATTAAACGTTTTTGTAAAGTCCAACTATCATCTATCCAATAACAAGTAATTCTTAGATAGTAATTATTTTTCCAATGATCGGACCAAATATCACAACAAATGGGTACTCTATGGTTTAAAGATTCAAAAGTTTGTTACAAAATTACTTTTTTTCACCCACAATTTTCGAATATCGTGAGTAAGAGTAGAAGGTGGAACCCGGCGGGAAGCCGGATTCAAAGCCATTTGAGCAAAATTTTCATACAAATCAGTATCAACGAAACCAAAAGGAATAGATGAAACAGAAACAAAATTCAACTAAATGAAGTCTATGATTATCATGCGAGTAATGAAATAAAAGAAGACGTACCTGGTCCAGTCTTCGCGGATGTAGCGCTACTACTCGGGAGTTGCATTTGTGCCGTGTCAATCCCCATTTTTTTCGGATGATAATTCTATATGTTTCGGTTCAACATTCCGTACACATCGCCTCTTTCTAAAGCGTACATCTTCTTGGAGTTTTCTGGACAACAGTTGCAAACAGAAAAAAACATGATTCTCACCTTTTTCCAGATTAGGCACCTTCGTGTAATGTCGTTCGAATACGTTGGATTTCGAAATTTTCGATTGACCACCTCGACCGTCCTTGCGGCCGGAGACTGGCTACGCTTGCGTCTGCTGCTGAGGCTCCTGAGTCCATTGACCTCCTAAGATATCATCCAAATTGTCTTCATACGTTTGTTATTGCCCTTGCTCGTACTCCTTGTGTACGACCTCTTGGATAACATCAATGGATTCAAATATCATTCGATCGTCACGGCATCAATATCATCGCCTACACCGGGAACATCCAGATGTATCGTTGGCCTCGCCATTGTCGGCAATGGAAGTCTCAAAGAAGATGCGCCGCTATTTTTACGCTTTTGTCCGGAGCCCGAACCACGACCACCACGGTAGCTCGACAGTTTGCAATTTGAAAATAATTTATAAAATAAAAAAAAGAGTTGAAAATGATATAAATGAGAGTAGATTTATAGAACCGAAACGAAAATTATGTTGAATTTATATAATAAGAAGTTTAGAACCGAAATTATATGTAATCGGACCGATTGTCTTGCAAATTGAGCACAAAAACTCAAAACCGAATACTTAAAGAATGTAGAATTGAGGAGAAGAGAGATTGTTAACACAATGGGATGAAGAAAAATGAATTGGGGTGTGGATATTTATAGGCTTTTTTTTTTTAAATTTTGGACGGAAACTCGTTGGGTCCGGGTCAACCCGGCGGGGTCAGTCAAAGGATGGCCGTTGGATCACAACGGTCAAATGATCTGTTGTATGTATTTTTACCGGAGTAGAATCAAAAGATTCGAACACCAGGTCGTGTCTCTCGAGGAAGGTCAGCTGGATTATTATATACGTTTATTCAAACAAAAATAAAAGAAGTAAGATTCCTAAACATTCTAATTCAGAAGATTGGGTTTGATTTTAATTATCAACTCCTATGAGAATTCAAATAAAGCAATAGAAATAGCAAGCAACAACGAAGAACAAGCAGGATTTAAGAAGCTAGGGAGTCGGGGATATCCGTTTTGGTCCGAATTACAATCAATGGGCAAGTGATTGTTCGGTTAAGTGATTTGAATAACCTGCTCATTCAAGTGCTCATCCTCAATAACTCTTCGTAACAAGAACGGCAAATTAACAAGTCATTTAACACCTAGGCAATACAGTTACGAACAAGCCTAGTTTATACGAGCCTATTTTGATCGACTCCTCCCCTTTCGGTTCTAAGAGTCGATTAAGATAGACTAGAGGGTGGTTAACCGACTAGTCAATTAGAATCACCAATATCATGCACGAATAAATCAAATTCAATTGAAAACAATTGGACGTTAAAGTGTCACCCTTCAACAGTTCTCAATACTCAAGAACGATAATTGAAAAATCCTATTAAAAGAGCTACTCGCATAAATTGAACTGTCACGAGCACGATAATCACGAACGAAATCAAAACATCATCCCCTATTCCCTAGCATATGGATTTAGCCACTCATGATCAATTCAACATCAACAATCATCTCGATCAAAGAATTCATATTTAACGATAAAGTTAAAAGAGAAATCATACGATTGATAAATCCCAAAGTTGAATCCGATAAACAAGCTTGAATCTGAAATCAATACTGAAATCCAAGTTTAAATCTATGTTCTACGTTGAAACAGATGAAAGAAAAGTGAAAAGAACGAGAGAAAGAGACGAAAGAGGTAGGGTTTCTGTTCTGGAGAGAAAAGATGTGTTCAGTCGATCCCGATGTCATATATATAGGCAGCACGGCATCACGATGTGGGAAGATGGCACGGCGTGGCAGGCTGGCTGAGTCGCGGCGTGGAAAGGGGCTTCGCGGCGCGGCGCTGGGAAGACCTGGGAGCTCTGTCAGGGCATGGCACAAGAAGCGGGACGCTCCGCAGTGTGGCGCGAAGGGAATGCCGCGGCGTGCTGGTTGCCGCGACGCGGGGCTCGGGAAGGCAGCTCTGAAGGAGGTCACGTTGCGTGCCGCGGCGTGAGCAGGGCGTGGCGCGAGGCTGGGTACTGTAGGCAGCTTGCTCAACTTTACGTCTTGGGCCAGTTCGAGCTCGTCTGATATCGGAATTTGATTCCGCTTTTTCCTGTGTGTCGCCAACGAAACACTCTACAAATTAAGCTCGCCCAAAATATTTTTCTCCTTCAATTTACAATCGACGAGGCACTTGACCTACACACCACAAACGAACACAAAAGCGGAGAAAACCGAGAAACGACCAAAAAATACAGAAAGACTCCAAATAGAGGAAAACACGCAATATTATACAAAACGAACTAAAAACGAATGAAAAGACCTAATATGGGGGGAAAAGAAATGTAAAATGACAACGAAAAACGCAACAAAAATGGGACAAACATGATCCGACGACACGATTCAAAAATCTGACCATTGAGCGACTCGCCCAGACCCGGTCGAACCCAGAATCGGGTTTTGACCCAACCCCCTTAATAATTTAAAAAAATAATAATAAAATTAAAAACTGACTGCTGGATTTCCAACCATTAGATTGATCCAACGACTCAGCCGGTGGGTCTCTAACTGTTGACCCGGCCCGATGGAGAAAAAAAAAAAGGGTTGAAAACTCGGACCTGTCTTTCAACCCGAAACTGACGGGTTAAAAAAAATATAAGAGTCGGAATTGAACCATTCGTAGCACGAGTCCAGTTCAATGACCCGTACATACGGGCCGGTTTCGGGTCGACCCGGTGGTCTGGGCCGACTCTGGCCATGTCTACCACGTATACACCTCATTTGTTTTTACATAGTATTGCTAGTTCAGAGTACCCCTTGTTAAGTAAAACCTCTAGGGTGTGTCTGTATCAGCTAAATGGAATATTGGTAATTTCTAGTATTATCTCACTTTCGTAATTGTCGTATTATGTAGAGATTTTGTTTGAGTCAAGTTTACGCTTGTGCATAATCCTTAATTCTGGTGCTGTTGTTGCAAAATATCGTGGCGAGTGTGTTTGAATGTTCTCCATTCGCTGTTCTTTCCCTTCCTGCACAAACATCAAATTATTTAACGATTTAGCTGACATCTGCAAATTTAACACAACTCTCGTAGACTTTAGGCAACTACATTGCATGATTTTAGATTATTAGATATGTTGAACTAGAATTTTAACTCTGTTAAGATAAAAAAATAAAATAGTTAACTCAATTTACCTTAAATAATCAAATCACATTTCATGGCATGCATTTTGCTTGAAACTTTTCTAGGTATGCTTAAATTCCTGATATTGCCTATGTAAGCTCTCAAGCAACCGATGATTTTTCGCCAATTGTAAAGGGCCCTCAGCTTCCTCCCATCCCGGCCTTTGTCGAAAAATCCAATTTCATTTTGTGATCATATTAACAGTGATTGATCTATCAATTTGACAGCTTTGTAAGTATATATGAGTTCTTGTTACACTATAATCCTTCACCATATTTCCATTTAGCTGTTTATGTTCATTGCTATGTTCTTTATCAACTAACCTAGACGGATAAGCTTTATGCCGATTACAGAAATGACCCTAAGTTAACTTCTGATATTTCAAACATTGAATTCTTGTGTACTAGTTTTCACCCATGTACAGAGAGAAACACACGAGCCAAGTTCATTCAAATGGCTATTCATCCTCTCCGAATTGGTGAGTGAAAACATCGATTTCATGTGTACTGGTTTTCACGCATGCATAAAGAGAAAGAAACACACGAGCACATAATTCGAAATACATCTTTCGTTCTAAGTCGTACAACAAGCTATCGTTCGCCATGTTATCCATACAAGGCGTGGAGTCATAAATGCGACTTCTCTTTACTTCTAAAGTTACTTTTTTTTTTTCAAATTCAAATTTATCCTACAAATTAAACATAAAAAAAAAGCCCTCTATGTTTTTTTTTTGTATATATACACACAGCATGGGTCGAAATTCATGCTCTTTCAGTATAATAAAAGAAATTCATCCTAGTGGCGGGCTGTGGGGCTTCTCGTGCCACCTAAGCTTTCTAGCCTCTCAATGTATGACACTTTCTTGTTCGTGTTGACGTTAGCCGGTTTATTTAAAACCTTTCGTTCGGCTTCTTCGTGTGAATCCTTTTTATTCGGGTCGTTTTCCGAGTTCTCCAAGTTCCAACCCATGAAATCAAGTAGTGTCATTGAATTTGGGGTCTCGGCCGAGTTGCTTTCTTCTTCTTCAGTCGAGGGCGACTTCATTATTGGCTCACCACTTGGCGGGTTTCGTGCTTCAGAGTCGACTTGCATCACATCTTCGATTCTTGACAACACAGTGAATGCTAGGCTTTCTATTATTCTCGAGTAGCTTTCCAAAATCGCATGCCCCACGTCCTATATGTTGTAATCACAATAAATAAATAAAATTTAAAGTTACAAAAAAAAAAAGAATAAATTACATTTTTAGTTCTGTATGTTTTACTACTTTAACATTTTCGTCCTCTTCGAATTGCNAAAAAAGTACATAGAATCTTTCTTACTTACTCTGTTGCATTGTATTTTGGTGATGTCGAGATCAGACTGGGGTAGTCCCGGAAATCGATGCTTCAAGATAAGCAAAATGGTCTCAGCTCTATCCTCGAAAATCTCTCTCTTCTCCAAGCTCACGGCCGAGCCCCAAGCAGACTTGTTGTCTTTCATGTTCATTTTCCTTTTCCATATTACGACTGATGCCTCGATCTTGTTCTTGAGGTCGAGGATTTTATGCTCCGAGGACAGGTCCACCGAAGTAAGGAAGTAGTCCGGGTCAAAGTACTCGTCCGTTATGTTCTTGTACATTGACTCCCCTAGACTTGCTCTTCCATTCTGTTCAATAGTATCAAAACTATTCCTTTTTCAGAAAAAATAAGTACATAGTTGAATATCATCAAAGAGTTGTAGCATTTTCAATAATTTTTTTATTTTTTTTCCTTTGTTTAGTTTTACCTTAGGGAGAGCCTCTATATAACTTTCTGGAATCTCCATTTCCGAAAGGACTTGAGCATTTATGGCCATGGCAGCTTTGAGCACCTGATTGACTGAGTCCTTCTGATGTTGCACCCATTTTCTTGTGACCTCAGAAAGGCCATTCGGAGGCACTTTAGGCACGGGAATCCACCATTTATTGTCAGATCTTACATTTTTACCCTTCTGAGACGAGTCCTCGTCATCTTTTGACACATAATAGAACTCATTCTGATCCTTAAAGTTGTCCAAGCATTCCTGTCTCATCGTAATTTGCCACACAATTACAAATAAGTTCATTGTTATTAGTAGTATTATCATTATATAAAAAATAAAAAATATTGAGTTTCTTACGAGGAGCATGGCATCGAGTTTGCGTAGAGCGGGAATGTTCATGTGGAGATCGTTTCTTTGTCTTGTCACCATAACCTGGCAAAGGAATGACTTTTGTGTTAATTTAGGAAAATGGATGGGCTTTTTGTGTAATTAGTGTAGAGAGAGTGAAAAGAGACCTCCATGTTGGCTCCATCTTTGGACCTTTGTTTGGAAGGAACAAATTCAACAATGTGATCTGTGACTGACAAGAGCCAATCAATCTCTTTTCTCCACCTTGCTTTTGTTTCTGGTGCCATGGGCTCCAATCTCTTTTGTTCTCCAAATACAGAAGCTGAAGTTCAACAAAAATGGTGGAAAACAAAAAAACAAAAACAATTAGCATTGGGAATAATAAACTTAAAATACGAAACTGAAGAATAATTATAATCAACCATCTGTAAAAGCATCCGTTTGATGGTGCAGCTTGTGATATTTGGAAAAGTGAGTGGAGTTATTTGTAATTTTGACTAAACTTCGAGGAAAGTCGAGATATATATACCTGCCAAGTTTGTGATTGCGTTCGACAAAGCCAAAGCTGAGGAAACGCCTTTCCCGCCACCGGACATGTCCTCGCCAAGGAGCAGCTTTGCAAATCTTTCCTTCAACAAGTCCTTATCTACATTATGCACCATTCATTTATATGCACAGAAGGTATATATATATGTATAGTTTGCTGTGATTTAATAACAAAACTCAAATGTCAGGTTTAGTTTTTATCTTTCAAAAGTGTAAATGCTGCAAATACTCTCCCCTGAGCCTAGTATTAATCTGACATCTTGATGGTGCAATTTGTAAAAGGAAACAGAAGCATTTGTAATTTCAAAAGGTTGGTGATTTTATTTTTCAGATTACTTAATTCTAATTTTTTTTTATTTCATTCTAGCATTTACACCATTGAACAGCAATTAAAATAAGTCAGATTCAATAAAACTCAAACACACATCTCTTAACAATTAAAAACAAATAAATCACTAAAACAAAAATATATGCATAAATTGACCTGAAAGAAAAAAAAAATCCAAAAAGGAATAAAACAAAAAAAAATCCAATTTCATTTTCCTTGCCTGAAACTTGTCTTCCATTAGGATTTGTGGTGCTCCCATTGTTTGCTAATCGAGACTTGATCTTTTCTGATCCGTCGAGTGCGAACACGATTTTCCGCTGTTCCAATTCCTGCAGCGTTATCGAGCCATGGCTTCTTGATGATGTCATCCTGTCGTTATCCGTTTGAGCAGTCGAGCCATTGCTTTCGAGGGTCATGCTCCTCGACTTTTGTCTCCCCTCTTCATTGTGCATCCCTTTGATATAATCGAGCCTCGATTTGTAGATTTCTTTTTCGTCCTCCGAAGCTCTGACCATTTCCTTTTCTTTTAGGGAGAAAGATTACAGTAATTTCTGATGGATTTTAGGAAAAAAATGGATTGGTGTTTTTGTTTTGACTTTTCTTGTTTTGGTTTTTTCTCCTTTTTGATATTCCAAGAATCTTGGATGGAAAATGTGGGGGTGTTGTTCTGGTAAATAACATGAGGAATTTGTTCTCCTTTTGTTGTTCTAAAATGTTTGTGTTGAACGTGAAATGCTGTATGAAAAGGTGGGTTGCATGTTGGAGATTAAAATGAAGCAATTACGACAAGTTGAAGATTCCAGACAAGCAGAGTATTATATAATTTTAACTTATGCAACTGTCTTTTGTTTTTCTTTAATTTTATATTTTTATTTTTATTTGTTTATTTTTTTGTTTGCAATATGAGAAAATTGGATGGTTGCCTTTAAATTAAATATGTGAAAGTAAATGCACCCAAAAGAAAGGGAAAAAAAAAGGAAAAATGACACCAAATCTATCGCTATATAATAGAGAAGGTGATTTACTTAAAATAATATAAAATGTCCTGTTAAAAAATTTAAAAGTTACTATTTTTAGTAATTTTTTTTTGGAAAATGATGGCTGAATGAAAATTGAATTTCAAATTTTTTTAAAAAAAATGTCATCTGAAAAAGATATTTCAAAGTTACTATTTTTAGTATTTTTTTTATTTTTATTTTTTTAAAAAATGATGGCTGAATGAAAATTGAATTTAAAATTTTTAAAAAAAAAATGTCATTTGAGAAAGATATTGTGTAATTCAAAATTTTAAAAAATGTGGGTAATGATTTGCTACTGGTAAATTTGGCCAATAATGATTTTTTTTTTTTTGAAAATCTTGCTTCTAAAAATCTAGTCAATCATTTCATTAAGTTTTTGGTCAAACGTGTAAATTTGGGTACAAAAATCCGGTCAATAATTTAACGAATAAAACATTTGTAAACTTTCTGAAAAGGCATGTCAACATAATTGTAACTTATAATCAGTTAGGGTAAATATTAAAAAATTAAACAAATTATACTTCCTTGGTTTGACAATGTGTCATTTTAGTTTTAAAAAAGCAAAATTATAATTTTAACGGGAATTGTTATTTTATTTTTATATAAAATTTTCTTAAATATCTTATATCCGATTTTAGTATTTTTTTTATATATACACTCTCCCTTTCTTTCCTTGCGCGCAAGTTATTAGTATTGGTATCTCACTTTTCTATTTTGTTTTGCATGAGTTTTTTTATTTTTCAATGGGAATCAAATATGAGATTTTTTAGGATTTATGATAAGGATAAAACAAGAAAATGCATAAATACATCTAAAACGAAATTTAAAAAATCACAAAGATTACAAACTCAAACAACATTATTCTTAAACGAAGGGAGTAAAAAGATAGTAAAGAGTAAATATCATACAAATTAATATTGGGAAATAAAATTATTCAATAAGACGAAATCACACGACATACTTACAAATTGATGAGATTTAAATTTGAATATAAAATCAATGTCACACAACAAATTTGATGATATTTAATTTTGAATATAAAATAATCTATGATTTATTTGAATATAAAATCTAATCATACAACAAAGTTAATGAATAGTTCTATATATACCATTTTTTTTTTTTAGTTGTATATGTAACAATTTTATCTTATCTTATTTTTACTTTTATTTTTTAAAGTCAAAGTCCTAAAGAATATAAAAAGTCTCATTAAAATGTCATATAAATTGTAGCTTTAATAATGTTAAGAGAAGAATTTCGACTACATATGAATATTAAAGATCAATTTCGCAAACTTGTATAATAGAAGAATTTTAACAGAGTCCAACATCACGTACTCAAATAAATTTAATAATTTAAAAATATCAAACTTCATATATCGATGTGGAATAATATTTAATAGTTTTTTAGATGTGTTTTTTTTAAATAAATATTTAGAAAAATTTAGGTGATTTCACACATTTTTTAGAATATTATAAAATATTTTAGATATTTTACACATGTTATATATTAATTTACATATTTTTACACGTGTTATATAACATTTTAGATGTTGTTAATATTTTATATAGACATGTTTTACGATGTTTTTTAAAAGTTAATTTTCATAAGACATTTTCAAAAAATGATCATATTATATTACACATTAACCCCATATTTTTAATGTATGAATATTATTTATCAATACATCAGAGTATCAACTTTTTCGTACACTTTTATACAAATTAATTCATTTTGTATTTATCTAACTATTTAATTTATGGTATATAATAATTTCATATTATGTCGTCGGTCCAAATAAATTAAACCAATTAATGATGGTGAATCCAATACAGAAATAATATGACTTTACACTTTTTAAAACATGTTCTTCATTTTTCATCTCATATCCAAATTATAAAATTTGATGTGAATTTTAAGTATCTCATATTTATTAACTATATATATTTTTGTAAAAAGCATGACGATTAATATAATTAATTTTATCATATATCATGTGTTAGATGTTATTGGTTTGGTTAGGGACACTCATTCTATTCAAATAAATAATATATAATTTCTCATATTTTTATATTTCTTTGATTGCAATAATGAGATGTTAAATATAAATAATTATGTTTAATAAAATCTAAAACATATTTGAAGTAACAAGTCCATCCATACATCGCATGAGATGCGTACTAATGATTATTTTAAGCAGTTGGCTCCTATTTCACACAAACTTAATATAAATTTGAAAAAGGGAAATTGGAATTGCTAAAGAGACCGAGGCTTGCTACATAAATTATAAATTATCCGATTTGACTGATCGTATTATTATTTTTACACTATTTAACTCACAATCCAACTCAAATTTAATCAAACATAACTCTCTCCAATATTATCAATATAATTAAACAATATCAATCAATCATCCACACACATCACATCAACTTTAATTAATTATTCATCAACTAAGTATTTTTAATTACCTATCATTTTCAATAGCATCTCTCCTACTTTTTTAACATCACAACAACATTAACCATTATAATTTAAATTCTACTTAAATATAAACTCAAAATCTTACTAGTTCTTTACTTAATCAACTTTATTTAAAATTAACTCACTTTAACTAATAAACCAATATTATTTTCGGTATTTATATATATAAAAAAAAATCATTTTCGGTATTTATCTGAAGAAAAAAAAAGTCTAATGAATCTTAAAGTAATATTTATTTTGTTTGAAATTTGAAGCTGATTCAAACAAGAAGATGAAATTTTACATAATTGTTCTTTTACTGAGTCAAATTATATATTCTTTGAATCTGATTATAAATATTATTTATCAACTATAAGGTTATGGATTGTGATATCACGATTTGGCGAAAATAAAGGTTAAGCAAGAAAGTATTCCAAGATATTCCAAAACATTTAATGTTATTATGGTGTTGACTTTATTATTATTCATGGATTTTCGTACTTTCAAACTTAAATTGGGTGTTTTGCACTATTATGACTATGGATTTGAGTAGGATGCATGTTTTGGATTCTTGACATTATTTATTGAGTTTCATTTGAAGTATTGTGTAAAATGTTGAATTTTGGCTCAAATGTCAGTAAAATTCTGTTAACACCGCCTTTAAATTGAAATATTAACTTTGAAAAATCGGGGCATTACATATAATTTTTTATATTTATATGAAAACATTTTTTTCAAAATTTATTTGTATATTTTTTATTAACATTGATTGAATCGGTTTTTCTTTAAATAGGGCAAGATTTTTATGGTATGAATATACCATATACCATTTATCTATTTATATATAATAAGAATTAACATTTTTAAAAAATAGTAAATTTTGGTCCAAATTCTATCTGCATTAATTACATGCCACTTTTGACAACTTTTTTTTTCTAACAAAAAAATAGGGCAGCATTGAATGCCGCCCTTAAAATGTGGGATTTATTCAATCACAAAAGATTTGAACACATTTTTAGAGATTAAGACCCTTAATTTAAATTAAATTTCAAAATACAGTCAAAATTTATATAACCGACTAAGATTTGTAACATTTAAAACAAATAGACATTCAAATAGAAAATGAGACTTCATTTCCGGTATTCATTTTTTTCGACTGAATAAAATTCGGATTTCGACCGAAAATTGAAAAATTATTCCAGATCCGTCCATTAAACTTACGAAATTTCTAAAATATACCAAAAAAAAAAAAACAATATGAATCAAAATAATTGAACAACACATTACATAAGTCTCGATATTCAAAAGAAAAGCTTTTGAAATTGTCGAAATAGTAATAACAGAGTCAGTTTTTCATCGGTTTCGACCAAAAAAACAAACATAAAATCTTAGAACACACAAAAAATATGACAATCAAAAGAAATAAAATAATAGAGGCATCTTTCTAAACATAAAGACAAGATATAATATCGATCTATCTAACATAAGAAATCGACTCGTAATAAATGTGATTGATTGTTTAAAAAATAGAGCATTTTTGTGAAAATTTGAAAGAATATTTTATCAAGTTTTTATAGTGATATAAGAGAGAGAATAGAGAAGGAAAGCGGTAAGAGGAGGAGAAGTAATGACATAACCCTAATAATTTGGATATTTTTAACTTTTTTAGTTGGCATCTTTGATTTCTGATCGTTAGATATCGGTTGACTAATTCAGACTGTCTGATCCATTCTTTTAAGCCATAACGGGTTGAGATGTTGGGTCACACTTAATGATTCGGTCTGCTTTCATGGTTGACTTTATTTGGGTCAATTCAATAATATGTTATTGGCCTGTTAAGTTGAGCCGACCAGTTTAGTTGAGTACATTATATTATGGAACATAATTGAGCTTCAATTTTTTTAAAAAAAAAATAGACATGCTTTGCTATATAAAAATAAATAAATATATAAATTCCATAAATTATTATAGCCGTGCATAGCACGAATTACTCAGTGTAATAATAATAATAATAATAATAATAATAATAATAA